CCAAGACCAAGTTCTCAGCACAAAGATTTATTTGCCCCAGAGGGACAGAGGTCAGGGAACAGAGACAAAGGACCAGGGAGAAGGGGGAGGGAACAAGAGAAAGGGGGCAGGGGTATTTGTCCAGGAGGGACAAAGGACTGTCTCTGGATGGACAGGAGACACATGTGGTCAGAGCAAATGGTGGTTTATAAGATAAAGGGGGGAAACCATGTGTTAGGATGAGGTGTTTAATTTTAATTGAGCGTGTTAATTAGGTGAACCAAGGGGGCTTCTGATTGCTGGACTTCAATACTTTGACAGCTGGATTTTGGTAGTCAGCTTCAGGAGGAAGAAGTGGCCAAATAAGAGAATAGATCTTGGTGACTAGCTTTAGGAATATAATCTAACATTTTTTTTAGCAAGGTAGAGGGAATGGGGGAGAAGGGCAAGGTCTGCCAGAGTCATGCTCACTGGACTCAAGGTGGCCAGAGTCCCTTCAATGTGTTTATAAGTGATGGAGCTATTACTTGAGCCAAACAAACTGAAATATTTGCAGAACACACACCCTGAAATGTAAAAGCTTTAGTTATTTTCCACTGTCCTTCTAACACTTGAACTTAGTCTAATGTAAGCATGAGTGTACTCTGTGTAAACGAAGCTGTGGCCATCTGTGTCTTCTCAATGTGGATAACGCGTGTTCATTTTTCCCTAGCTCTTACACAGGTGACCAGCAATGCTATTTGGTACTGAATTAGAATGTGTATTTGCACACATGGTCTTAGTCTTGTGCTTCATTTTGCTTCTATGGACATGGCTGGCTAAGACTTCTAACTTATGATTTATATGTAAGGTCTTTTACCACACACCTAGTCATTTATGCAGAACTAAAGCCTGGCTGCAAATTAACATCAAACCTCCAGATGGCACCAGAGAACTGAGGGAAAAAGACAACAACAAAAAACCAGAATGACATTTTCAATGAGCCTTTGTCCTGTTTCTAAGAGGCAGGCAGGCTGTGGAAAACAGCCCCTTGTCACCCAGTCATTCTTCAAGGAAGGGGGCTGTCTAATGACACACTTTGCAAATGTCCAGTTGCTGTTAGAGACACTTGATTGTGGAATTTTGCGAAGCAAACACACGGGCATTGCGTTTCTTTCTGCACGGCACCTTGAGAGTCAAGAGGGTGGTCCTTCAGGCTGTCTCACGGACAAAGTGCTGGAAGATAGATGTGCTACCGCAGAACCCACCGTTAAAGCTTTTGTTGCAGTACAATCAGATACACAAAGATACCTGAAGGAAAACAGGGAACTGAAGAGGCTACGCTGTCCTTGGCATTCTCATTTACACTAGCAAGTCCTGGGAGGGCCTCTCATGAAGCCCAAAGAAACAAAGAAACAAACAACAAACCGTTCTGACAACTGATAGTAGTGGTCCAACTGCCTGCAAAGAGTTGGAGAGATGAGCCCCCAAATACAAGGGGAATTCATCACATCGTAATATAATCAGAGATGTAACATCCTCAAAACAAAGGAACGAGAAGCAGTGGTCCAGCTGGCAGGGTGGATACGGTCGTAACTGACAGCCATTACTCGGCTTAGTTGGTTCAGCCAGTTATTGGTTTATCTTTTAAACAAAAGATGTAAGGAAGCTTCTCACCCGAGCATTGCTAGCGTACCTCAGCACAGCCCGGGGCACAACCCAATACCCCCACCCACAACAGCAACACTGCTAATCCATAAATCACGGTTTAGCACTGGAACACAGAGACACCAGATGCGCCAGAGTCCAGGGTGCAGGTAGGCAGCCCAAATGCTGTTTTCCTGGATAGTCTCATATCCTTTCTCCATGCAACTCTGAGTAAAATGCCACGCCCCTGGGCGAGATCTTCCCCCACCCTCCTCTCTAAAATGATTTCCCCTCACACATTCTCACATCTCCTACTTTTCCCCATTTAGTGCTTATCAAAATAAAATCACTTCCTTTTATACTCCTTTGTCTGCCTCTCCTGCCTGCAGCTATTGTTGAAGCAGGCAGGCCCCTCCTGGGTCAGCCTCCTCCTGCATCTCCACCTGTGAGTAGAGCGTGTGGCATGTTGTAAAAGCCTCGATAAAATGGAACAAATGACTGAATGACGACAGATAGGCTGGCCCGTCTCTCTGTTTTCTTCTGGTTATGAAATTAGATTCAAAACGTAAGATTCAGGATCAAAGCTATTATGAGAGAATATTAAATCAATATAAATAACCAAAATGTGCCTTAAGAAAAAACAAGAAAAGATTATAGAGAACGGAAAAAGATAATCATGCCTACAGTGTTTAAAAACAGATGATGAAAATGAGATCTCGGAAGCATGGGGGTCCTGCTGCAAATGTTCACTCACCAGCACACATGATTTCTGTGAGAACAGGCGGACAGGATGAACTGGGAGCAGCTGGGTGGGTGTGTCTGCTGTTTTATCTGGAGGGGCACAACTGCATGGATTCAGAAGGATTCTCTATCCTGGTGAGTGTATTACAAATGATTTCTGGTGAGTGACTATGTGTGCTCAGAAAGTCTATCTGTACCTCTGGAGGCTTTCTCAAAACCCCAAGACTAGCTTGAGTTCCTCTTATTCCAACAGACTACACTTGCCATTGAGTGGCGAATAGCAGGTTACCTAACCTCTTTCTCTTCCTTTGGAACTTGAGCATTTTAAAGGCCTAGACTGTGGGCTTCCATCTATGGCTGTCTTCTCAAGTAGAGCCTGCTGAGTAGAAAAAGCAATTGGCTAAATAGTTGTTCAACAAACAGATACATCAAATACTTATGTACATCTTTTTCCTGTTTCATCATGCATGACCTTATCTTGTCCACACTAGGTTTTGCTCCACTTTATGGATGAAAGCCTGAGGCTTTATGAAAGCACAGGAGTCTGGCGCCCTCTTCTGGCTTCCCAGGTACCAGCACTCACACACACACACACACACACACACACACACACACACACATACACACACACACACCCACACACACACACACACACACACACACACACACACACGTTTGAAAAATAAAAAAGGAATCTTAATAACACAGTTCTATCATTAAGCAAGAATTAGGCAATAATATTTATACTAGTTACTTTTCTCATGGCTATGACAAAACACCCAATAAAAGCAACTTAAGAAAGGGAGAATTTATCTTGGCTGAGTTCGAGGCTACAGTCCATGGCAGTAGAAGTATGTAACATTTCATCTGCAGTCAGGAAACAGAGAGGTGAACGCAACTCATTTTCTCCTTTATATTCATTTTGGGATGCTGGCCTATAGGATGATGCTCCCCACATTCTGAGTGGGTCTTCCCTTGCCACTTAAATCTCACAGACATAGCCAGAGCTAGGATATTCCAAAAGTAGTCAGGCTGATGGTGAAGATTAACAGCCACAGCATCTATAACTAGGCCCATTTTTAAGTGAGATTCCATTGTGAGGTGTGGACCATGAAGGAAAAAGGAAGTCTTTGGCCAAGAAATGCCTTGAAGCAAATCCCCATTGAATCAAGTTCAAAACGGTGCACGTTAAACCTGGAGGCTCTTTTTTGGTTCATGCCAGACCAGTTCTGAATAATGCAGAGAATACATTTTGATCAAAGACGACCAACTAACTTGTTGGACATGTTGAATTTGGCATCGTTTGGAAACATCTCTTTCCTCCCCTTCTACAAACTGTCTTTAAACCATTTAGTCATGTTGTCTTTTCCATCATTTAATGGGACCGCGGGCAGCTTCCCAGCTTCCTATTCACTTTCAACCCCAAGAGTAGCCTCCTTTCAGCCTATGCGAAGCCTGTCACAGTGATTGTGTATTATTGTAAATTCAAGAACAGTATTGTGAATGCCTTTAAGAGAAATGTCCACATCTCTCAGAGATGCTAAATGAGGCATATTTTGATATTTGCTCTGAAATATTCCAAAACACAAAAGGAAGATGACACACAGGATACAATCAGGAGGTGTGGGTAATTGTTAGAGCTGAGGTATGGGGACTTTGGGGTGAATTTCACTCTTCTTTCTTACTTTTGTACATATTTAAGAATGAAATGTTTAAAATATTTTGTAAAAGTCTCATCTAATTTGAACATAAAAGGGGACTTCTTTATCTCTTTATGGCCGTCCTCCCACCTCCCCAGAGCTCACACCCCTGACCTGGACTCTGTGAGGGCAGAAGGGCTATGGTCAATCTCTTCAGTGTTAGCACGGATGGCTTTTTATTTCTGCTTCTCATCCTCCCATTTCTCCTCTGCTGACGACTCTCATATTTCTTGTTCTTTGGAGGAGGGGAGGGGGGAGCAGTTGGGAGAGGAGGAAAGGCAGAGGAGAAAGTCCTATCTGACTGGCCTTATCTTGTTCTATCTGGATGCCACATAATTAACTGGTTCTATTTGGATGCCACATACCCCTGGTGTGGTGGGTTTGCAGGAAGGTCCTTTACAGGCTTCTCAAAAGACTTTTGTGGACATCTGATCATTGTCACCAGCTTCACTGTGACTTGGCTACAGTGGTCCATGTACTTCCTGCCTACTGCAGTCTGGGGAGGAACTGGTTATTTTAAACTGTCATTTTGACACATCCTAGATGGGAAGAGAGTCTTAGTGAGGAAATATCTAGATCAGGATGGCCCGTGGGCATATCTGTGGGGTTTGTGGAGTGTTAATTGATGTACGAAGACCCAGTCCACTGTGGGTGGTGCCATTGCCTAGGCTGAGCCCTGAATTGTGTAAAAGTGACAAAAACTAGCTAGCATGCAATAGGACAACCATTCAAAGCAAAGTTTCTTTTTTCCTTCCTCTTTGCTCTTGACTGTGGATATGCTGTGACTAGATGCTTGAGTTCCTACCTTGACTTTCCGCAAGTGATGGACTTCCTCTTAGAATTAATTGTAAGCCAAATAAACCTTTCTCTCCACTATGTTGCCTGTTGTCAGGGTATTTGTAAGAACCGGAACAGAGTGATTATGCTCTCCAAATTCATATGTTCCCACCACAGAAAGTGATGGTAATACGAAACAGGGCCTCTGAGGAGCAATTGGGCCACGATAGAGGACTTCATGAATGGCACTGTTGCTCTGAGAGAAGAGGCTCCAGAGATCTGCCGGGCCCCTCTGTCATGCAAGGATGCAACACGGCAATACCATGTGTCTGGACTGAAGCTCTAAATTTGACAGCACTTTGACCTCAAATGTCCTGCATTGTGCAACTATGAGGAATAATTGTTTACTGTTCATGACCCACACAGTTTCTGTGAGTTTTGTGAGTGTGGCTTGAATGAACTCTTCCTGACTATCAACTTGAATTCTGCTAGGTGAGCATTTGGCTGTACCATAACTTCTTTACTCACCCTCAGTATTATAATTGTTTGCTTTTATTATTTTTGAGTTTGTAATTTAATTATGTTTCTCCCTTCCCCTTCCTTCCTCCCAACTCTCTCATATACCCTCCCCACTCTCCTTCAATTGCATGGCCCCTTTCATTCATTGCTATTGCATGCATATATGTATCTGTATAGATTTACGGATTGCTAAATTCAGTCCTTATAATGCTACTTGTATGCATGTTTCCAGGGCTGATGATTTGGCACTGGACAGCAGCTATGAGCTGAACAAGGACGAAACCAGCAAATGTGCCACACTTGACAGGGAAAAGCCCACAAAGTCTCCACCTAAACAAAAACTACCGGCAATTGAGTAAATCTGGGAGCAGGAGAGGTGGCCCTCCTCAGGGAAGGGCACACCTAATAATTGTTTGCTTTTTAATTAAACAAAATAACATGAGGGGAGTCTCAGGAACACAGAACGAATAAGCTCCTAAAAGAACAGAGAGTTTATGCTTCTTCCAACAGTAAATAAGGGGTGGGAGAAGGAGACTGTATATTCAATTACCTAAAAGAATGAAGAGAGAGAGAGAGAGAGAGAGAGAGAGAGAGAGAGAGAGAGAGAGAGAGAGAGAGAGAGAATAAACCGATTAAGGTAAATAAAATGCAAGCAAATAATAACAGGAGAAGGTGAAAGATTGAAACACATCGATAAAAAGGCACAAGTCCTGCCATGAGATGGAAAAGAAGTCCAGTTCAGTTAATATGCTAGCAGAGCAAAGACAGACGAAAAACAGTATCAACACTCAAAATCAAAAGTGAGGTGAGATACAACCAGGCAAACACTGACCAAAGAACTCCAGAATCTCCATATTAACATCAAGTGAAAGGGTTTTTGACATAAAAGTATCAAAGAGTGTAGAAAATTGCTAAGTAACAATAAGCCTTGAACTTCACTAAAGAGAAATGATTCTAAACATAATCACTTAGAGTTGTGTCAAGATTTATAAGACAAAAATAAGCTAATTGTAAGAAAATATAATGGAACTATCATATTTTAGAAAATGTCACCAGTCATAGCAGTAGTTATAGGCAAAGTGGATTTACCCCACCCCACCTCCCCCCAATGGCCCTTATCACAGACTGGAAACTTTGGTAAGACAGCTGATGTTTAGTGCCCCTTTATGGAACCAACATCTAATAACCAAAGAACCTATTTTCTCTCAAACACATGGATGGTTACAAAATTTTGAAAATTTTAAGCCACAAGGAAAGACTTAACACATTTAAAATAATTAAAAATAATTATTTTCGTACAGGCGTCCAATCTCACCATAGTGCAATTAAATCCTGAAAGCTACAACATAAGGATAATGAAAACTGCAGCATGTGCTTAGACGTGTAAAAACTCCGGAATCAAATACACATAAATGGAAAAGTTTAAAAACTAGCACTAAATGATAATAAACACACTACACATTACAATATGATTTACCCCTGCAAGATTGTAAAGAAAATAATAAACAGATTGGGGATGATTTGGGCATTTCTTATAGACACATTCTTAAGGTCTTGATGCCACCCATGGAGTGTATTTTATTATGAATTAATGCACACCAGGTCTGATTTGTATCACATCACCGATCTCTAATTTTGGCATCTTCAATTTTAAATCATGGTCTCAATCTTGCCCCCCCCCACACACACAAATACATATGCTAAAGTCCTACTGTGGTTTGTGAAATGTCCTATTGTGAAATGTCCCAGCTGCTGACCCTGACTGAGAAGATTCTGGAGCTTCATGGGATGGAGGAGGTCACTGGGGGTGGGCCTTCTTGCCTGGCCTCACTCCTCTTTACTCTCTGCTCCTTGACTGCTGACGCACTGTGATCCTGTGGCCTCTTGCTCCTTCCCTGCCTTCTCTGCCCGAAGCCATGTCCTTCCTGCTGTGACAGAATGATCTCCATCAACTGTAAGCCAGAGTAAACCTTTTGTTCATTAAAGTCACAATAAGAATATCTAAATCAAGCCCTGATTCCCAATACCCAAGAAGGTAACTGAGTATGGAGATGGGGCCTTTAAAGAGTTACAAAGACAAGATGAGGTTATTACTAAGGACCTCAATCTAACGACTCCTTTCCTTATAACAACAGGAGATGCACACAGCACCGGGGCAGAGGAACGACCATGCTGGAGGGGGTGGTCACCATAAGTGCTATGCCGCTGTTTCTTCTGAATTGAGACTCACGAGCTCAAAAGCTGAATAAAACCTTTAAGACTCTGGAAGTCAATACAACTTAAGAAGCTGGAAAGTGTGGAAGATTCACAAGGCTTTCCCTCAAGGTCGTATATACAGTAAACAACGGCTGGGGGTCGCTGGGGAGTGGAGACTCTTCAGTGGACTTGACTGCAAGATGTGCTCTCAGGACGTAGCTGCTTTTAAGTGATCTGTGTTGCTGTAGTTACTGCAGTAAATTCACTGTCACCAAGCTAACAGGCAGAACCCTTCTTTGGCCTGTTATTGATGTTCTAACTGGGATGAATAGAGATTTGTTCACGTCTCCATAGGAAAAGCCACAAAACAAGTCTAGTGTATTAGTTACTTTTGTATTACTGTAACTATCGTTCCATGACAGAGGGTCTCAGTCAATCACGTTGGAGAGGACACAATGGAGTAGCTGAGACCATTTTGGCAAGAGTATGTGGTAGAAACTTTTCATATCACAATGGGCCGGGAAGCAGAAAGCATGACGGGCAGTTGGCAGGGATGGCATACCCACAATAACCTACCCCCTGTAACTTACTCCTTAGAGGTAGACCCATCTTCCCAAGGCTTCAGGGACTACCTAAAACAACACCATCAGGGGACATGCACTCAAAACAGGAGGCTGTGACAGACACTTCAGATTCAAATCATCACACCAAGCTTTGGAACAAAGCTTCCAAAGAAGCCAACCCTACTGGCACACTTCATTTATACTTTAGATCGCAAGCCTGCCAAAAGTAAATCTATGTTGCTTAATATACTCAGTCTCTGGTATTTTATTATGGCAGCCAGAACAAGCCAAACCACTTCATGTTCAAACAAATTCACAGTTATTAGGCAGTGAATTATACCCATGCCCTCCCCCAATCTGTTGAAGCCCTATGCCTGTCTTACTTAGAGGACCTTTAACAGAGGTAATTCAGATTAAATGAAGTTCTAAGGGTGATGCCCTAAGACAACAGGGCAGGGACATTGAGGGCACTCCTTCTTGCCTTTGTTCTCTTTTTCTCTCTCTTCTCCTCTTCTGTTTTTTCTTCTCCCCCTTCCCCCTTCCTCTCTCTCTCTCTCTCTCTCTCTCTCTCTCTCTCTCTCTCTCTCTCTCTCTCTCTCTCTCAGACCATGTGAGGATACAGTGTTAGATGTGCATATGAGCCAGGAAGGGAGATCTAATGAGACCCCTACCCTGCAGGCTTCTGGTGCTTTAACGTGAACTTTTCTTGTGAACTCTCATCTCTGAGAAAGCACAGTATGCTGCCTCAGCACCCAGCCTGCAGTCCTGTCTCGTACCAGCACTGGCAGAACAGTGTGCTTCCCAAGTTCATACTCATTCTAAGTTCCCAGGTGGTTTCCATATGTACCTCACGGAAAATGAAACCTTTCAAAGTCAGCATTCTAACGAAGCAAGAGAGGCCATCAACAAGGGCTGTGGATAGATCCTGTTTACTTTGATTTGGCTCATGTTCATCTTTCTTTGGATGTAATTTCAAAAATAGTCACCCTATATCCTCTGCCAAGGCAGAGTCTGGGAAAGGTAAGAAAAGGGTTCTGCTAATTCTTCTGTTCAGCGTTTGGATTGAAGCTGTAACTGGAGACTCTGAAATCACTGAGGCCCTTAACCTCCCCTCACTCTCCCCACCCTCAGCTTGATCTCAGAGGGGCAGCCCCCTTGCCTTGCCTTTCGTGTTCCAGAATGTGGCCAAGACCAAGAAAAGAAAATGACCACTCCTGATGCTGGAGGCTCTGAGTTCAGCCAGTTCACCCTGGTCACAGAGAACGGAGACAGAGTTGGGTTTCTTGCATCTGTTCCATGACCTTCCCCTGCCACTGGCTTTGCACAGAGCCTCGAACACTCGAGGCCACCAATGCCACAGCGCTTGGGAGGTCAGGAGAATCTGAGAGTCTGTCACTTGGCTGATATGGTGGTTACCCAAACTAAAGAAAGCATGACCTTTTAACTGCTTTCTTAACCTCAAACCTGTGTGGTTTGATTAAGAAGAGGGTATTTCCACCTTCCCAGTAGAAAGCAAAAAATGCAAAAACTGATTCAACTTTCAAAAGGCTCAAACCTGGTACAATAACTCATGGACACGCCGTAAAATATATGACCTGTTTTGGCAGATAAAATGGAAGCATCAAGTTAAGACATTTAAAAATCATAGAATAGCTGACAGCAACACTACCCACCCCCTCACTCCCCCACCCTCTACCCCCTAACCCCCTCTGTCCTGGAACTCATTATGTAGCCCAAGCTGGCCTCACACTCACGGCACTCCACCCGCCATAGCCTCCCAGATGCTGCCATTACAGGCATGAGCCACCACACCCATCGTAAATAAGGTAATGCAGCTAGGTAACATCACTTTTTCTCCAGCAGAGAGAGGGGTGAACCCAAGTTCTCACAAATGTTAGATGACCTCTCTAGCCACCGAGTCACATCCCCACACAACTTCCTTTGTATCCGTTCACAAATGACAGCTATTCATTTTTTTTTTTTTTGAAATCCTGCAGGCATGGAACAGTGAAAGTATTTGTCAATAAATTCCTGCAGAAAGTTCGTCAAGTTTTTCTGTATGGAAGTCTACAGACTGCGCAATGAGCAACAATCTGTTTCTATGGTCTGTGTTTTAGACCAGGTTTTACCTGAGCAATGGATAGCTATGATATGTTGAATTTGGGTAATAACTGAAATTCATAACTATCATAAAACCATCCTATGCCACTACACCATGCAATATTGTTATGCCTGTCACCCTAATACATCTTCCTATGGGCCTTTTGTTGAAATAACATTTTCCTGATAAAATTTAAATGAATGCATTAAAAAGCAGATGTCAGTTTCCACAAAAGCCACTCAATTATAAGATTTTGTGATACTTTTTTGTTTTGTTTTGTGATACTGACCTGAATCCGTTGTAACAGAATCTGTGTATTGAACCATTAACTCAGTTATCAGTCTGTCTTAGTGGGGAAGCTTGTGAGTGATGGCTAGACTACGGCATTGGATAGGACAGCCTTGGCTGCCAGCAGACAAGCCAGAATTAAGCAGTCTTCAGGAAACGTATTAGTGTGTGTGACTGGAAGTCCGTGTGAGAGTAAAGAATGCATGATGAGCAATGCTTTTCTGTCACCACAGACACATGGGTCTTCCATCTCCACCTCTGCCCACCCTAGCATTAGCTTCATTATGAGGCTGGCTTCCTTCATAATTTCAAATGGCTCCAGTGGCTCAGGGAGCATCATTTAGTTTAGACAGTGTCCAAAATCAGAGAAGAAGGGTCTTCTCTCTGTATGGAAACCACTGGCAGGACATCTTGGCAGACAGAGTCCTGCTGTTATTTCCTTAACTGTCACTTCATCACTCCTGAGTTGGTGAGGAATGTCATTGGGACTTAGGTCACTTGGCCTCTCTCTGGACATGATGGCTGAGGCCTGCTTCCTGGTTTCCCGAAGGAAGAATGGAAACATGAACAAAACGTAGCTCTGAGAGCGAGACTGCAGACAGACCCCTCACTGGGTCTGCTGTGGTCCTGCTGAGTTTGGAGAACATGGAAGCTGTGAGATCAGCAAGTGCTCTTAACCCCTGAGCCATCTCGCTAATCCCCGATGTTCCTGTTTTTATTTTCTTACTACTCTAAAGGGCTTGGGTTTGATTGTGAAAGTAATTATGAATATTTTAACGCAGGCAACGAATGCAACAGAAGTGATAATTTACATGTTAAATAATCAGAAAGTGAAAGACTAGAGAGAGAGGGGGAGTAAAGAGAAGACACCATAATAATTCAGGCCTGTCAAAGGAAGAAAGGGAGTGCTTACCTGGGCTTAATGGTGCAGGGCTGTAATCCCAGCCCTGTGGAGTCTCAGATGCTGAGTTCAGGGCTAGCTGGGCTCCCTGGATTTGGTAGTGGGCAGGGCTGGGGGAGGTAATGTGTAAAACATCTCAAGCAAACAACCCGAGGGTCTAGAAGCTTACTCTGCTACTGCTGGACTCAGGAAGAAGGTGTGAGTATTCATACTAGAAGTGAGGATGTGGAATTGTATTGTTCAGTAGATGAATTTTCTAGTTAAACTTGCCATTATTTTTTCCTAAGAAGTTTTATCCAGTTACCTTATATTAAATCTTTTCCTTAATCGATGATTAAATAAGTTCCCTGTGGTCCCTGGGCCCCTGGCTTGCAGTGGGTGTCCTGCTGCCAGGAAAGGAAGGCGGCTTCTGAAGCAGCCGAGGCTGCAGTTGTATCCCGAGACACCGTCCTCGGTGTGAAATTACAAGTGCACTGAGTTTAGGCAAATGTAATTAGGCCTGGAAATCCAATTAAACTATAGAAGACACTCTTTCTGCCCGAAGACGTTTCCCTCTATGTAAATCAGACAGAAAACATGTGTAATTTATGAGAACGCCGACTGAATTACCCTTCAGCAACCACCTTCCACAGTATTGTCTTTCCTCCAAAGCCAGAGAACTCGAGAGATGTAATGATTGTATAAGAACAGTTTCCCATTAAAGACTTCAATCAAATCAAATTAAATCAAACTTGAGAACCAATGCTATGACAACAGACGTCATTAGCCATGACCGTCTTTGGGCAACAGGACTGCTCAGTCCTGAAGCAGACCGTGTTCCCAGTGGGTTGAACCCGACAGGTTCAGCAGCTATGCTACTACTGCGGTGACCACTGAGGAATGGACAGTGTGCGTTTGGTTTCGTTCATGTCCCAGCTGTACACACATCTCTGCCTACCTTCTCCAAGGGCAAATGGAGTCTCCTCTGATAAAAGATCCAGAATAGCTTGTTGCACGATTTTCCTTGTTTCTTGGTTCAGTGAGATAAAAGCTAGGTGGGAGAGACAAAACCTGGGAACCCCTCCCAGGTGACATCCTACCGTTCCAATGAGTCCTAGTGAGCTGGCAGGCTTCTTCCTGCTGCTGTGATAGAGAATTTGGCAGATAAGAGAGCCTCAGGGTCCAAAAAAAGCAGTCAGAACTCAGTGACTTGGCTCGGCCTCTCTCATGTTCACTCAAATCATGAGAGGCTGTGATGAGGTGGTGAGTATCTTGACAGCATAAGGAAGACCTGTAGGGGTTAAACATGTGGTTCCACCTTTAAGACTTTCCCTCATAGTTTTGTTCACTCAGGACCAGATAAGAGGCAAGGCCAGCTAGGCTGTTTGCAGGACTGAATGCTCAGGTGCTGACCTCCACGACAGCTATGGGGAAGTCCTAACGTTCGGTATATGGGTGTTAGGAGGGGTCCTGTGGGAGGTGCTTAGGGCATTAGTGATGGCAGAGCCCTCACAGTGATGACAGAGTGCACACATTGGAGCACAGAACCTTGATCTTAGCCTCCTCAGCCTCTAGGGTTGTGGGAAATGTTGTCTAGGCCACCCAGATCATGGCAATTTGTTGTTAGAAGCAAGAGCTAAGACAGTCCATAAGGTTAGTCACCTGAGAAAGAAGATCCAAACTCAGTCACCTGTAGGGACTCCCCGGGGAGTACCGCTAACATCCCTATGCTAGAGCAACAGAATCAGGAGGCAAACAGCGGTATCCTTCCCGGAAGTTCTCTGTGATTGCAAACCCCATTTGAAAGCAACCTTTGTATTGTGGAGGACACCATGTCAGAAAGTTCCTCTGGACTTTATAGGGGTTGCACAAACTGAATAATTCTAGTAATTATAAAAATAAAATGTTCTGAAAAGCACAATATCTCTTGACTGAATTTTGTGAGTAAAATCATTATGAACCTTTGGGACTTCTACATTTTGTTGTTTGCATGCATTGATGTGTTTATGTGAGTGGAGTTTTCCTGACATGCTTTTGAACTCAACTTTATTCACATTTCAATCAGTGGAGAATGAATATCAGACTCATTCCTCAAGGGAGGATGGGTTCTCTTTTGCCTTAGTACTCAGATAACCTATAATAACATATTTTTTCCAAATTATGATTGACAGCATAAATGATTATGCCACAATATATTTAACTAGTTCTCTACAATTGGAAATTTATACTGTTTCTAATTTTCCTCCATTGTCACTGTGTAATAATGTTTTCCTAAATATATTTAGTCCCAGGTTTGGTTGTTTCATTAAGATATTTTCCAAAAGGTAGATTTGGCAGAAAATGTATACAATGAAGGCTAGTAAAGACAAGTTTAATTTTCCTTTAAAATGTTCGGGTTTGTGTACATTCATTCGTCTTAGTAAGGTGATAAACACCATGACCAAAAGCAGCTTAGAGGGGAAAGGTTTATTTTATCTTACAGTTTACAGTCTATTATGGAGGGAAGTCAGGACAGGAATTTAAGGCAGGAACCTGGAGGCAGGAACTGAGGCAGAGGTCATGGAGAAATAATGCTTACTGGCTTGGTCCTCATGACTTGCATAGCCTGCTTTCTGATAGCATCCAGGACCACCTTTCCAGGGATGATAACATCCATAATGAACTGGGCTACCCTCCATTAATCATCTGCCTCTCCGTTTTCCACAAGTCAATCTTATGGTCACATCTTAATTAGAGTTCCTATCTCTCAGATGGCTCTGGCTTCTGTCAAGTTGACAAAAAACTAGCCAGCATACTACCCCATTATTAGAATAAGAGGATCACTTCTTTCACCATACTTGATAAACCTTACACATGTCATTGGAAAATCTCTGTAGATTGGCTAAACCAATTTCCTCACAGAAATATTCACTTTCTTGATGCTGTGGAGTGCTATGGACATCTTTTATTTCACAAGAAGGATGAAGCCATTCAGAAGTTGGTGGGTAGGTGAGATGTAACCACAAACAGAGTTTATAAGCAGTAGTTCTAAAGAAGGTAGCAGCATGCACATGAGAAACTAGAGACACCCTGTGATGTGGCAGCCTGTTCTGCTGAGACACTGGCTGCTGGCACCCAACTTGGCAGAGCCTTTAAAAAAAATTCCTTTGCCATCAGCTTGCTCTTTGTATGGCCTCTGAAGTGTTACCTGCAATTGCAGTTTGTGAAACAATACCTGGACTCTGTAGTCTATGCTATCATAGCTCTCTAGCATCCTACTGGGGACCAGGGATTCAGATGTCTACATACATGGCAGCAAGAAAAGGGGTCTCATGCCACCTTCCCTAGACAATGTTTCAGGCTCCCAACTAGTCAATAGGAAACCATGGTGTAGTTGTCCTTGACTGTCTTAACCCTGTGTGGTCACAGAACATGGCTCTGTTTTAAGAAAAATGCACTTGTGCACCTATACCAATCATCTGAATGGAACTGGAAGAGAGACTCACTGGCATGTGTTCTGTACAGGGCCATTTGGAGATGGGAAATTTCTTATATCTTGAAACATATCAATGGCTTTAAGCAAAGAGAACTGACTTGTTAGTTTCTGGTTGTGAAACCACTCAGTTGGCCACTGTGATGGCTATTCTTGGTTGTCAACTTGACTACATCTGGAACTAAAACCCCCCAAATGAAGGGCACACCTTTGGAGGATTTTTTTGCTTAATTTGAAGTAGGAAGATCCATTTCTACTCTAGATTTTTGAGTTAGGAAGACACACCTTTAATCCAGATCTTGCAGGAAGAAACACATCCGAGCCACACCTTCTGTGGAAGCCTATATAAGGACATGCTTGCTCTCACCTTGTGAGCCCATCCATTCCTTCACTGGCATTAGAGCCTACTTCTCTGAGATTCCTGTGTATCCTGAAGACCAGTTGAGACATGCAGCCTTGTGGACTGAGCAACTGCTGTGTTCTTGGAACTCCCATTCACAGCTAGTCCTTGTTGAATTAGCTGGACTGCAGCCTGTAAGCCATAATTCTAATAAATTATGTGTATATATATTTATACATATACATTCATTCTAT